GGAAGGGGCGTCTCCCCCACTTGTGCTGGGGACTCAGAACCTGGCATGGCTTCTCGCGTCCTTGGCCACCTGCTGGCGCTCGCTGGGCTATGCTCCCCGCCTGTGCCTGCGCCTAACCTCTGCCAGGACCCGCCTGCGGGCACAGCCTGTCCCCGGCCCTGTCTCTTGGATTTTCACTTGGCACCGGGCGCTGCATTGTGTCCTTGGTGTTTGTTGTCACCGCTGGGCCCCATTTCACTGCGCTCAGTGGCTGGGTGGAAGTGCATCGTCCACCCTCAGGGACTCGGTGGGGAAGTCTCCTCGGGGGCCCAGGATGCTCCCGGAAGGTGACAGGGTGCTGGGGACGGCACAGTCCTCACTGTTGGTGGCTCTGCTTCCAGAGGAACCGTCATGTGAATGCCGTCGACTTCTAAACGCCAACAGCCCTCTCTTTTCTGGGTCCTCTTTCCAACCCACCAGACTTTAGTGATTGTGTGCATTTGTAGGTTCTTCGTTTTCAGTTCTTCTTGAAGTTCCCCAAGATGAGAAAGTCTTCTCTTCCTGCCAAGCATAGAAATGTCCCAGTAAGTTGACTTTGTCTTTTTGGTGGTGCTGGGGTTTGAACCCAGGCCTTGTGCATGCTGAGCAAGTGCTGTACCCCGAGCTACATCCCTGGTACATGACCTGGCTCTTCTTGCCCTCTTCATCTACCTCTCTCCTGTGTCTTTGGTCTATGACTGGAACATACTCGATCTTGTATACTTCTTTAGGCAGTGGGCACAGTTGCGTCTGATCAGTGCTTGGGTAGAAGAGCTGAGGCGCCAGCGGGCCTTTCCTCAAACCAAGCGCAGCCGCCACAGCCAGCATCATCCTCCAAGTGGCAGCTGAGATTAGCTGAGTACTTACTTTGTGTTGGGCTCGATGCTAAATGCTCTGAATCTCATAATGAGGCCCCGGAGGAAACTCCTGTGAAGTATGGATAAAGCTGAAGTTAGAAACATAGGGAGGTTAACTTAGGAAACTGTTCCAGTTTATAGAGAGCAGAGAGGCCACAGGAGAACTCAGATTCAAGTCTGCTGCGTCGGTAACCACGTTCTGCGCCATCTTTGCTCGTTCGTCTGTGCTCAGCACGTGATGGGATCCGAGGTTGTGCCCCAGCCTGGCCGGCCCCCCAGCGTCACCAGGGATGACAGCATCCGGTGCTTCTTGAATGCTGAACCGCACTAAGCTCCGTGGAGAGCGGCCTGTGTCAGCTCATTTAATCGTCACAGACTGAGATAGGTGATCCCCATTCGGCTGATTGGGAAGCCGAGGGTCACCAGGGCCAGGACGGCTGTCCATGGGGACAGCTAAACAGTGAGTCAGGGAGGTGAATGGTGTGAGCCTGGGCCCCTGGGCCCCGTGCTGCAGCTTTTAAAACATACCCATTTTCACCCTGTGCTCGCCTTCTTGGGTCCCCATCCCTAGCTCACTTTGCTCTTCTTTGTCTCTTACTTCTCATCCTGTTCTTCCGGAGAAGCCCAGGCTGGGGGCCTCCTCAGTCTGTGCCTGTCACCACAGAACTTACTTCAAACCCCTGCCATTTTCATATACTTAAAGCCTAGTGATCCTACCGCAGCTGGGGGTCTATTTTCTCTTTCTTGCTTCTGACCAAAGGGAGGGAGCAGGAGGCCCAGGAACAGACCTGCATGTATCAGGACACCTGATTTGTGACCCAGGGGCCTGCTGAGCATAGGGAAGTGGGGCCCACTTTAATAAACAGTTCTGTGTTTAGTGGGATATCTGCAAGGAAATAAGTGAATCTGGACCATAAACAAAAGTAAATTCCAGGCTGAGCATGGTGGCGCACACCTGTAATCTCAGCACTCAGGAGGCTGAGGCAGGAGGATCGCCCTGAGTTCCAGGCCAGCCCAGACTACCTAGCAAGACACTGTATGAACAAACAAATTCCAGCAAGACCATCAGTCTGAACATGAATGTTAAAATATGGCTTCATGTACAAGATGACAATATGTTTATAACCTCGGATAGCCAAACATTTTTTACGGAAGACACAGCACTTACTGTGGAGGAAAAGCTTGATAAATTGGATGACATTAAAAGGAGGAACTTCTGCTCATTAAGACACCAGTTTTTAAAAAAGCAAAAATGAGGAGTGTGGAGAAGATACGCGGCACCTCTAACCTAAGTTGATTCATATTCAGAAAAGGGAAGGACTCTTAGCAAGCCTGTGAGCAAAGGAGCCCCTCCCCTGGGTCACAGCAGCCGCCTCTTTCTCAGGAGCTGAGAGTTGGGTCCCGTCCCTAGCCAGTGGGGGGGTCTCCTTTCCCTCAGGCGCTCACGTTGCCCACGTACCTCTCCCCTCTCAGGAATGCTCATCCCTCTTCCTCTTCTCCTTCGGCTTGCTAACTTTTGATCAGCTATTTTAAGAATATTTCTCTCCTGCTGCTTTTTTCCCCCTTCCTTTTTCATTTCCCTTTTTGTACCTTCTCGTTGAGGCTAGAAACTTGTGGTTATAAAAACTGCCCTAAAATATCTCAGAGTCTTGAGGGGAGCAGGCTTGTGAGGGCCGGCGTGCACCTGTGCGACAGGGTCTCGGCTGGGCTCTGCCATCTGGGGCCTCCTCAGGTGGGCGTGGTCGCTGTTCGAGGACCAGCTAGGCAGGGACTCGGCCCGGTGCCTTGGATGGCAGCGGGGTTATGACCGTCCTTTCCAGTCTGGACAGACCCTCAAGGGTGTCTGGGTGGGAGGAGGAGCCAGGGCACCCGTGGGAGTCCTCACCCCTTCTGGTGGGCTGGGGACATTAGCCGTTCAGTGGTACTGCGTGTACTCCCCGTGTGGCCATCGGTGTGGGCCTGGGGCAGCCACTGACCTGAGGGTTAGCTTCTCCTCGCTGTCCTCTGCCTGCTTCTCCCCACAGAACGGCTTCTCTGCGGCAGGCGCTCTTCGGGTGTGCTATTCTTTGTTTGTTTTATTGAATTCCTCACTCTGGCAGCCCTAGCTCCCCCTTTGCATTGCAAATGTATTAAGTTGGGACCTGGAGGACGAACTAGAAACTCTAGGTTTGTTCGATTTTAAAGAATTCTGACACTGTTTAAAAGCCAGGAGTTTAACATAATGAAGCTCGATCCACCCCCGTCCTGTGAGGTTCCGAGTGCTGGACTCTTTGGGTCTCTATCCCAGACGGCCCCAGGGGCAGAGCTGGATGAGGCTGCGAGAGGCCTGGGGTGTTGTCCCCCCCACCCCAGTTGCTCGCCTGCAGGCATTGCAGTGGGTGAGTGGTAAAATGGCTTTTGTGGGGTGGCCCGGAAGCCCATCCAGTATGGTTCATGCTGTTTCACCTGGAGAGTGAATTCTAGCTTTCAAAGGGTGGGTTTTTGAAAATGCCAGCAGTGCAAATTTGGGGGTGCCGGTGGGGTCCACGGCAGCTGGTTCTGTCTGAGGTAACAGCCACGTCTTGCGCTCTGTGCTGTGTGGTGGCTCGGCACTCAGTGTGTCCCTAGTAAACGATTGACCTCCCAGATCGCCGGGTGCCAGTTGTCTGCCCCTTCCAGGTGGTGAAGAAAAAGCCACCTCACCGTGGGTCTCAGCCTGCTACTTCCGCCTCAGACTGAGCTGCTGCCTGCTGTATCCAGAGTGCCCAGCGTGGCTCCAGATGCCCACACAGAGTGTGGAGCTGGCACCATCACCTTGTCCCTGCCCTGAGAGCCTGGATCCCTCTGAGCGAAAGCTCCCGTCCCCGTAGAGCCGCCCTCCATGAGGAAAAGTGAGGACAGAGGTCGCGGGAAGGTTGCCTTCCTGGCAGATGGCTGCCTGCCGGACAGGAGTTCGTGGCCAGTACAGAGTGCTTGCATTCCACGCCCTGACCTGAGGTTTATGTGGTCAAAGTTCAGTTCACGGCCTTTAAGGGGTGGGGGAGAAACCTTGTCTTTGGCATTTGGAAGTTTTCGCCCAGATCTTGGGAGAACTCTCAGGGTCCAGGGAGACTGTGGCTCCTGAGGCAGGCAGCCTCGGAGGGAGAGTGGGACGGCCTGTGAGCCGTGGGGCTGCAGAGAGATCCTCCTTTCCGATTCGCCGGGGCTGGCCGTCTCCCTGCTCTGAGTTATCTTTACCCCCTGAAATCAAACACTGCATGTGGCACCCTGTAAAACTGTTTCCTTGTCAGCCGGAGCATGCTGGCTAAGTAAACATCCTCCCGTGTTTTTGGATCTGCGTTCATTTTTGCTTCCTGGTTATCCCATTTGGATTTTTCTGATCCTGACGGCCCAGAGAATCGGGTTAATAGAAGGAAGACCTAGAGTCAGTCAGAGCCACCTGAAGTGACTCTTTTTCATGCTAGTGAAGTTGTGGGGAGGGTAACAGGGCCATGGGCAGAGGAAGATTTAGATGAAAAGTGAAACAAAATGAAACCTAATGAAACCTCCCCACCCGGTGTCGTCATAAAGCTTTGTGAGCCGCAGTTGGCCTCACGGCCGCACCCCACAGTGAGCCTTGTCTTTGTCCGGAGGCGCCGTGGTGCTCCTGACAGCTTCCGGGGCTGTGTGTGTCCCCCTCTGCCCCTGCTCGCTGCTGCCACTCATCTCGTGCACCCACCCGTGACCCCATCGCATGGCTGTGAGCGGCTGCATCATTCACCGAGTCCCGGGGTGATGGACCCGGAGCCCACTTCGCTCTGGTTCTCCCTCCTGGAGGAGGAGCTCCCTGGCAGAGCATGGAGCCCTTTGTTTATTTGATCCTGGGCTCTTGGATAAATCAGGAATGTCCTGACATGAACTTAGGCATGTTTTTCCTCCATGGAGAAGGAAACTATGGCAAATAGGATTTGAGTAAGCAGAAGACCATTCTGGGGGACTTGTTCCAGTGCCATTGGGGCCACATTCCTTTGGTCATCAGACCAGTAGGTGACTTCTGCGTTGGCATGCTCCACCCTAGAGCCCAGAAGGTGTGAATTTAAAGCACTTTCCCCCCTCCTGGGAGCCTGGCACATAGCCTCTGGGAGTCTTTTAAAACCATGTACTGCCATGATTGTCTTCCAAGTGGTCCTTCCCTCTGCCGTTGAGAACTTGGCCCGGCGTAGTTGCTTGAGGAAGGCTGCTTGGAAAGCCAGCATGCGGGGCAAGGTGGCCGCCTCCAGTTCATGTTCCTGTGAGGTTCCCGATGTGGTGGGCTTCCTGACTCCACTGCCCCACGACCTGAACGTGTCTTGTGTGCTTAGCCAGCTCTGGGTTCGTGCCGCGCAGCTAGAAGCATGTGTGTGTTCTTTGCATGTAGCCTCGTGGGGTTCAGAGAGCCGCAGGGTGTGTTCGGGTGTGTAGGGTCCGTGTAGGGGTTAATATCTGAGCTGCTTTTGGAGGCATCTGTGAGTCTGGGGGTCGGGGAGATGCTGGGGGGCCCTGTGCTTTGCTATGTGCAGACTCACTGGATCCACAGCCAGCCCAGTTGGGAACCAAGGGTCAGGGGAGCCCTCTCCAGGATGTTGGCAGTGGGCTGGGGGTGCTCCAGGAGAGGGGCTCCTTGGCATTGGCCGTGTGAGGTCTGGGCTTGGCTGTCACTGTGTTTTGCTGCTTTTCTTGTTGTCAGAAGGCTCTTCTTGGGAACAAATGACTCAGCAACCTGAATCTCAGACGCTGTGTGGCCTAAGTGCCTTTGGGGAAGAAATCGGATCTGTCTACCTAGGCCCTAAAATTGTGAACCCTGAAAAGGATGGAGGTCCAGCTTGGTTTGACTCTGTGTTGTGCAGGCTGCTGGTCGATGTGGCCTTTCAGATTCCTGCGCTGATAGAAGGATCTCACTTTGCGGGGTAAGCAGGCAATGTTTTAATTATGCTTTTTATCCTTAGAAATTCCAGGGAGAAAAAGGTCCTGGTTTGTGGCCAAAAAGGCAAAAACAACAACAACAAAACTCAGCTCTGGCTGTAATTTTGGATTTGTCTGTGGCAGAAAGAGTTTAATGGGATGGTGGTCTCAGGATGGGGACCATTTTTTCCCTGTGGTTGGGGGAAACCCATGTGGCTTAAAAAAAAGATGACGCAACGCTTAGCCTGGGGCGGCCCTGCCTGGGTTCCGGGCCACCGCTCAGAGGGAAGAGGCTGGGGCCCCGCAGTGCTCGGGGAGCAGTCCTCAGGGACGTGGACCTCCGTGTCCCAGAACAGCGAGGTACTAGAGGGCGAAGGGCTGAGAAGTGCGGCCAAGGAAGCTGAGTGCAGGCCCAACTTTTTTTTTTTTTGCCTTGTTTGACTAGCCCTGGCACTGCCCTCCGGCTGGCTCTCCAGGGGAAAGCTGCAGTTCTGCTCTTGCGACACAAGGAGCAGGCTGGAGAATTTAGATCTGCGTCACAGAGCTCAGAGAGAGAGAGAGAGAGAGGGAGAGCGAGCAAGCGAGCGAGCGAGTGAGCTCCGTGGATAGGTCTGCTAGCAACAGCCGTGCTGCAGCAGAGAGAGAGAGAAATCAAGAACCAAGTCATAGCAACCCCGGCACCGGCTCTGCGAGCTCACCGCCGAGCCCTGAGGTCCGCCGGCCGGCTGGAGGCCTGGGCAGAGGCGATGGCACGCAGGGTGGCACGGACCATTCCCGTGGGGGGGCAGGGGTGGGAGTAGGAGGTTGCGGGGCGACAGCAGAAGGTTTTGGGGGACCGGATTCTGGAACATTCGGGACTGCGGCACCTCGAGGCCGGACAGAGGTCTGGGTTTGCGCAGGCGCCGATGGGTGGTCCGTGGGCTTCCGGACTGTGGCGCAGCCCGCTTCTTCCTCGGTACGTATTTGCCGGGTCGGGGCCATCTCTGCCTATGTGGGTGCTCTGCCTTTCTCACCTTCTTTCTCGCTTTTTGCTGTTTTTTTTTTGCTCCGAGGGAGGGCTTTTTTCCACTTTAATTTCTGTTCCCTTACTGTCAGCTGTCAAGCCCGACCCTGGCTGAGGAGGCGGGGGAGCTGTCCGGCTTCCCGCCTGACCCCCAGCCTAGTCCTGTTTCCTTCTGGGGGACAGAAGGGCTGGCTGTCCTGGCCGTTGGGACATCAGCGTCCATCTCTGTGCAGGGCTTACGTGGAAGGTGGGGAGTGGGCAGAGCAGGATCAGAAGAGTCAGAGGCAGGCACCGTGGGGACCGGCTTTGCTAGGGCTGCCCTGGAGATCCGGGGCCGGTGGGGGTGCGAAGTAGGGTGAAGCTGATAGGTTTGTCACTGCGTAGTTGGGAAAGTGGAGGTTGGTGACGCAGTCACTGTTGCGTCTCCTTAGGAGCCCTGTGGGGACAGGTAGTGAGGCTCCGGGTACGTGGAGCCGGCTGAGAGGGGTTGAGGATGAGACGAGAAGCGGAGCTAGCATTTAGAGATTAAATGTCATCCTTTTGGCGTTGGAAAGTTGTTTACCTTGCGCTCTCTGTGTCTCCATGTTGGCTCCCTTCCAGTTCACATGTGATGGCCTTCCCTGTACTGCTGCATCCTTAACTAAGGGACTGAGCTGGCCTTCCATTGGCCAGGGGAGGGCTCTCACTCCAGACACTTACTCTGATTGGTGGGTGGGCCAGTGGCAGGTGAAAAGCTTTCCTTGATTGGCCGAGACCAGGGTATCAAATCCGAATTTGCATTTCACTTGCTTGGGGGGGCAGCCCAGCAGCTTTCTAAAATCTCTTTAGGGGTGTGCGTAGGCTCGTGTGTCTGCCTGCTTTTGACTGCCCAGTCGAAGCTTCTTCCTGTGCTTTTTAAAATTTCATGCACTGTAGGGAAGGAGAACTCAGGGCTCCCTAAACTTTCTTCGTTTTTTGGAGGGAGAAAGGTTGCGGAGATGGGTACTCAAGGGTTGACCACATTGGAAGGAAATATTTGTCCTTTAGTTTGTTGTTGGAAAAGGGAATTTTTCCAATCAGCCACACCTTAGTGTTGCGGCAAAATAATTCTTGGCTCCCCTGGAAACGCTTGGGCAAGGTAGGGCAGAGCTGCTGCCGCCACCACCCTGGGCTTCCTGCTGACTCCAGCTGCTCCCCGGGGACCAGAGATTGGCATTGACGTCTGGCTGTCCCGAGTTCCTCCAGAGTCAGCCCTGGGCTGAGCCCTCACCTACCTTTCGGAAGCTGTCCGTGCTGCCTGGCGTGTGGAAAGGTGAGGATGGGGTCAGCCACCAGAAACTGCGTATTTCGTGGGATTTCCCGAAAAGTCACTGGGCAGCAAGAGGTTTGGAGGTCCCGGGTGAGAATGGTTTTGTCGGTCGGGGGACCAGGAGAGTGAGAACAAAACTGGGGCAGCAGGCTGCTCACCTGTGGTGGGGGAGGGAGGCTGGGGGTCAGGGCTCCGGCTCCCCGTCCCGCCCTTGGGGTGCTCTCGCGTTGGTGAGGAGGGGGTTTCCAGAGCCCTGCGCTGTGTGCAGCGGCCCCCACCCATAGCCACGCATCTGGGAGTGCATTGCGCCCTGTGTTTGGCCTGGGACAAGCACCGCCCTCCTTGTTACATAATGGAGGCTGGCTGTGCCTTCCTGCCCCTTCCTTGTAACCCTACCTCCTCACTCCCCAGGTCCAGGGGCTGGGGGGGGTCTGATGGGGGCAGGGGTCAGGGGTGGCTCTTGTCCAGGGAGGGGCAGGATTGCCTGTGAGGAGAGGAACGGCTTATGGTCCCACCCCGAGCATGGGCTGCAGAACGTCCTTCTGAGTGCCCCCAGTCACCTGTGGCCCCAGGCCTCTTGGGCGGGGGAGGGTGGTACCTTCTTGCCCTAGCATCCCTTCTGATCTGGGGGAGGAAGTTCCTAAGGAAGAAGAAGTGACAGTTGTGAGTGTAGGGAAGGTGTGGAGGCCTGTGGGGAGGTGGTTGGCAGTCTCATCTCTGGCTCCTCTTTCCCCGGGAGGACTTCTTTCTGGATCCTTCCGACTGGCTGCCATTTTGGAAGCATCTCTGCTGGTCCCTGACATGGTGGCTGGTGGCGTTGGTTCTCCTGGTCCCCGCTGTGCCAGTTCTGCAGTGTGGGCGGGGGGCGGGGGCTGTGACGGAG